GAAGATTGGCCCTGGGCTAACATTGGTGCCCATCTTCCTCTACTTTATATGGGACGCCGCCACAGCATGGTATGCCGACAAGCAGTACATTGGTGCCTGCCCGGGACCTGAACCTGCGAACCCTCGGGCCGCCGCAGCGGAGAGCGCGCACTTAACCGCTGTGCCACCGGGCCGGCCCCCCTCCAGATGATACCTTGATTACAGTTTGGGCCAAGGAAAATTTGATCACTTCTTTCATCTGTTTAAAAAAAGCCAAAAAACTGCCACTAACAACAACAAAAAGAAACAAAGAATCAGACCATCTTGTCACAAATATTTGTTGAGTCCTAACTATTTCTCAGTTTTGTCTGGTCTTTGGTTTATGCCTGTACACATCTAAGTGTCACAGTCCCTCTGGAGATAAGAACTTCTTTTGAATGGTTGTCAGTAACTGGGTATAGATGTTGGGTCAAGTCATAGAATCATGGAATTTTCAAAGCTGCAATGGGACATTAGAAATAACCTGGTCCAGTGGCTGTTTTTTGCAGATTGGAACCTGTGGTTTTCCCAAGATCACATAGTGAGGACCAGGGTAGATCTTTGAACCCCAGGATAGGGATTTTTCTAGTGTTTTGTGCTGTCTCCAAAACCAACTTTAGCTTTTTTGTAATCGGATACACTTAACCATTTAACTAATCATTTCACTATAATTAAATTTCTTATACCTGTGTAAATTGTATTCTCAGATTATGCCTGAATATGTGATTAGATCAAAAATTACTCTTATTACAAAATTCACTATAGTTTTGGGGACTTTGGTTTCTCATAAATATTAGGTATAATCAGGTTCCTGGTATTGATATGAAAAGATGAAAGCAAGGACGTTTTAGATAGAGTTTCTTATTTGTGACCCTTAGTTGTTCAAAGTAACAAAGAATAGTTGGCTTTTTAACTCCAAAAATATTAGAAATCTTTGAGTTGTGAAGGGCTATCATTATCAAATAGAAAGAATTCAAATATGAAGAAAGCAAGTGGTCTCATTTTCTCATCTAAACAGTGATAGGAATTAGCTGAATGATTATACTTTTGCTTAACAGACTTTTCTTTGATCTTTATGACATGGTTTAGAATTAGACCACAGAGGGCCGGCCCCGTGGCTTAGCGGTTAAGTGTGCGCGCTCCGCTGCTGCGGCCTGGGTTCGATCCCGGGTGCGCACCGATGCACCGCTTCTCTGGCCATGCTGAGGCCGTGTCCCACATACAGCAACTAGAAGGATGTGCAGCTATGACATACAACTATCTACTGGGGCTTTGGGGGAAAAAATAAATAAATAAAATTAAAAAAAAAATAAAAGAAACAGTTTATCACATTTAATTAATAAAAAAAAAAAAAAAGAATTAGACCACAGAAAGATTATCTTTAGTGTTTCCTCCCTGGCTTAAAGACTTGAATTTCTAAAATCCACCTGTATTGAAACTGAAAGGAATTGATAAAGCATCATAGAAATATATTGTACCAATAATACAGTTTTTATTGTTGGATATAGATGTTGATTTTTTTAAAAATTATGTCTTTATGGTTTTCGTAACAATTCCACAGAAGAACGTATTTTAAATTTCCTATTATTTCTATGCAGAAGTTGCCGTTTTTATTGATGAACTCATCTCAGTCATTTCTCTGTGCATGTATAAAGATGGCTGGATAAACAGATATGAAATGACAGAAGTAGTGAGAAGTTGGTGCATGATATATGCAACTTACTCTCAAACATTAAGTGTGTTTGAAGAAAGGAGATATTCTGCTTTGTATGTATTTCCTAAGAAAGAGGATATTCTCTTTTGTTACCACAATACGGTTATCAAGCGGTGATTTTTCTAAAGGAGAGCTTTTTCCTTCTCTCCCAGCCCCCTTCACTTTAGATTACTACTCTGAGCTCATGGATTCCTTTTATTCAGTGTATTTTTTTTTGATGCTCATAGTGTCCCAAAATTTACCAGTGGGAGCCCCTCCAGGTGGTTTCAATGTCCTGTTATGTCCCCATCAGTTTTTGAGTACTTGCTTGCTTTTTTTAGCACAAAAAGATGTTCCTGACCCACTTTGTACTTTTCCTGCCCTAGAGCTGGAATCGGTTATTTCTCTTAAGAAGCCTTAGTTCCTCTTAGTGGGGAATGATATTTGAAAACCAAGATCTGAGCGTTAGGTATGCTCATTGGTAATGAGGTGTCATTGCTTCAAGGCCTTTTAATGAAAAAAGCCTGGATTTTTTAAAATAAATCATGAGTTTATGTTAATACCCCAGTTTAGATACAACACACTGGAATTCTTTTGTACCTTCCTCTATTTCATATTTTGATAGATATTGCCAGATCCCCTTCGTAGGCCTTGTACTACTTGGCAGTGATGTGAGAGTGCCTGTGTCCCACAGCTTTACCAACAGATAGGGTGTTGTCAAGCTTTTGAATTTTTGCCAATCTGAAATGTAAGAAATCACATCTCTAAGTAGTTTTGAGTTTCTCTTATTATGAATGAACCAAACATTTTTTTCATGTTTAAGGACTAATTGGATATCTTTGTGTGTATACTGTCTTTTCAAGTCTTTAGCCCATTCTACTTTTTTCTTGGTCTTCTTTTCCTTGATTTTAGGAATTCTTTGTATATTTGGGAGCTTATCTGCCTAATATATAAAGAACTCTCAAATTTTTTTTAAAAAGAAAATTCTTTAAAAAAATTTATGATATTTGTTGCAAATACTTTCTTCCAGTTTGTCATTTGTCTTTTCTCTTGGTTTGTAGTATGTGTGTGCTTATTAATTTTTGAAAATTTGTGATGTTTTCTTCACACAAAGGGTTTTTATCTGTCCATTTTTTATTGGATCTGGGTTTTTGTCACAGTAGAAAGCCTTTTTCCACACCCAGGTTTTAAATGCGTTCACACATGTCTTTTTCTAGTACTTAACGGTTTCCATTTTTACAATTAGACCTCTTATCCATTTGGAGTTTTTTGGTTTAAGGTATGAGGTGTGGATCCAATTTAATCTTTTCCAAATGCCTATCCAGTTGTTTGGATAGCCTTTTGGGCTTTCTGTTTTGCTTCTGGACTTTGTGTTCTGTTCAGCTGGTCGGTGTATCTGGTCAGGATATTTTGTATAGAGTACACTGTACTCTGTACATGTCAGCAGTCGGTAGCGCTGTTGCAGTGGCGTGGCTCCAGGAGGCTCTCTGAACACTCCTTTTTTATGTGGGGGTTATGTGGAGGCTTGCTGCAGAGCTGTCTCTGAGCCAGTGCTCTCCTCTGGTGGTCCCAGAGCAGAGGACTGATCAAAAGGACTTAGTTTCCTGACGTGTCAGCAAATCCAAAACACCCCCATTTTGACAAGTTTTATTTTGTTGTAGTTCCTTCAGAACTATATATTATGAAATAATATGTTAGATTTAACTGAAAAATTAAACAAAATAAGCATGAAAAGTACTTAGCATCGTACCTAGAACAAACAACACAAAACCCGCGTTCTGCACATAATCTTTGACTGGTCCTAGCAAAACGGTGTTTAATCCCTACTAAGTGAGGAGGCAGCAGTGAAGTAAGCTGTTGGCAGCCTCTGGAAGTGGGCACATCTGGGATTGGCTGCTGCTGAACTTGGCAGTGGTGACAGTGAGTAAGATGACAAACGTCTGAGACGCGGTCAGGATGCTGGCTTGAGACTGGACTAGGCAAGTGTCAGGAGATAAGAATGCATGGACAAGGGTGCCTGGAGAGAAACATGCTGTTCTTAATCTTCTAGACCTCTTCCTATCCACTTGTTAAGGCTCTGAACTTTCTGGTCTTTTGTCCTGGTTACTGGGGAAAAGGGCATTATAAACCCACGTGTTCATGGAAAGCACTGAAAAAAACCTTCTGTACTTCCCAGTATTAGAATACTAATCACCAGCACAAAGCTACTTCAGCATGTGAAATAGGTACATTCACTTAGCTAGGTTTTTAAGTTACACCAGGTAAAATGATTTTTTTTGCCATTGTTATTAGTTGTAACTAGTAACTGCTGTATTCTGCTCTCGTATGATAACTGCTGCTACACAACTGCTGATTCTGTTCTGCTATGAGCCATTCTCAGGGATGGTTTGAGGCCCCACCTAAGCCCCCCTCTACTAGTCTTCCCTGGCCACCCCAGCTTGTAAGATCTCTCCATCTTTTGGGCACATGTAACTCTTATAATCAGTTCTGTCTATTTAATACTTATCCTGTACTGTCTTTAAAAAAAAATGTTTAAAAGTAAATAAAATCACCTATTAACCTACTATCAGAGACAAATCCGGTTAACATTTTGGTATATTTTCTTCTAGTCTTTTATTTGTTTTTTCTCTTACATATAGGATTTTACAGAGTTGAGATCATACTGTATATGTAATACTGTATCCTATTTTTTCGCCTTAACCTTATCATAAACCATTTGTAAATAGTGTTTTGAAAGTTACATAATATTTCATGGAGTGGATTGTGATTTACTTATATTTTCTTTTTCATGCATATTTTTCTCATTAGTCCAATTAGATCATGAGATTATCAAGGGGAGTCATCCTACTGTATCATCCCCCTTCTGTACTCCAGTGCCTATAGAGAATATTGTATATGTAGATGATTAATAAATGTTTTTGCTTGATTATCTGTTTTTAGTATAAATATTATAGCAAGTATTTGCTAAAGGCGACACAAAAAGTATTACTTGCGGCTTACTCAGCATCATTGCATCACCAAGTCTTTCCATCTAGAAAAAGAGATCCTGGGGAAATCTTTGCATGTATTTTAGAGGGGTCATGAATCCTCTGAAATTCTATGAGAAGTATTTTGAGTGAACATGTATGCATTTTCCTGCAGTTTTCATTAGATTCTTGAAGGAGTCCTTATTTAACAAAAAGCGCCGCTGATCCACTGGCTGTAACCCATCTGGAGATAGGGTCTATTTATTAAACTTATCTGAAATCTAAGATATTATATTTCACCTTTTATATTTCTTGGCTTTCAGGAAGAGATGAGACCATGCAGTCTGCAAAACCATCTTTCCTTGAATACTTTGAACAAAAAGAAAAGGAAAATCAGATCAACAGCTTTGGCAAGAGCGTACCTGGCCCACTGAAGAACTCTTCTGATTGGAAAGTACCACAGGATGGAGACTATGAGTTTGTAAGTAGTGTTGCAAGAAAATGGTTATGTCTCCTGGGAAAAGTTATTTGAAATATCACATCCAATTCTGTCATGTCACTGAACGTGCCTGAGCCTTTTCTCATGCAGTTCAAGTCTCCTCTCCCTGTCCCCGGCAGCAGCTCCTGGGCTGAGGCCTCGTGAGTTTGAGGCAACAACGTTTTGGTTGGTATTCGAGCAGTTCTGGGCTCCCAATTAGTGGCATCTATTTCACTTTAAAAATCTTTTATTCACTTGCCATTTTGCTTTTTGTCGAGTTTGAAATTGTTAATAGTACAAGAAATATTCAGCCATCAAATGGAGATGTGCTGTCTTTAATAGTTTATTTGGGATTGGGCTTTTATATTTAAGAATTAGGCTGGAGGGCAGTTGATGCTGTTTTGTAGCGTCTTTGTTGTTTTCTAACCATTATCCTAATTTTAGACTCTCTGAGAGGATTATTCTGAATTTTGTCTGAGGATGAATATTAAATTGTTCCAAAGTTTCTTACGAAAAACTGGGTGTGTTTTTCCTTTTTCTGCTGTGGAACGTTCTCCCTTAACCACAGACACTTGTTAATGTTCACAGAGATTTAATGAGTAGAAGCAATAAAACATTTGGGGAATACTAAGCATTTGGGGAGTCTGCATTCCTCTTCTGAATATTTTTAGAAAAGGATTTTCTCTTTAGGAATATTTAATTTGTACATTGTTAAATTCTACCGTAATTCTGTTGTTGTTTATAAGAGCTTAGTTTGGGCTTTATATTTAGATCCTGGGAGGCCTTTCTAGGCCTGGCTTTCCACTGTCCTACTGACTGACCTAGAGGAAATAAGATCATTCTTCCATAACATAATCTCTACTTTTGTAGGGTGGCAGGAAAGTCATAGTTTATACAACTAATGATAGAGATCTTTTGAGGACCATAGTAACTCACCTGAGGTTGTTTAACCAATTAGCCACTGAACCCATGTTCATCTGTTTGTTATCTCTTTGTTCATCATTTATTTATTCATCATCTACTGTTCATCACCCTCTGCTTTATCATCTCTTCATTCATTTATTTATTAGTTTTTTGAGTGCCAGTATGTGCTTGACACTTTTCTAGGGATATAGTAGTTTTCAGAATAGCCACAAAAAAAAATCCCTTACCTCTTGGAGGTTTCATTTTAGAAGAAGGAAAATAAGGAAGTAAAATATTTAGTGTGTCAGATAGTGGTAAGTGTTGTAGAAAATATAAAGCAGGAAAGGGAGATTGGTGGGGGAGGGAAGGAGAGAGAGAGAGTGTGTAGGGGGGTGTAAATGTGTCGCAGTTCTAAATGGCTAAGGAAGGTCTCATTGGTAAGATGATGAGGGAGTGAACCATGTGACTATCCAGAGGAAGAGCTTTTCAGGCAGCTGGAATAGCACACGTAAAGGTCTTGAGGCAGGGACTTGCTTGGTGTGTTTGCCCAACAGCATGTCTGGAACGGCATCAAGGGGGGGTGGAGCAGGAGTGAAAGCAGAGATGTAATGGGGAGCCAGGTAATGTAGGGCTTGTTGTGTAGTAAGGACTTTAGCTTTTACTCTGAGTAAAGTGGAAAGCTATTGGCAAGATGTGAGTTGATCCTATTTATGTTTTAAAAGTATTGTTTTAGTTGCTATATTAATACACTGTAGGAAGACTAGATTTTCTGAATACAGGTGTAGTGTTGTCTCCTGCATAAAGGAGCCAGATGTGGGGCATAACTGCTGCCATTCCTCTCTTCTAGGTCTTTGGCATTCGTATTTTCCACTGAGTCAGGATTCAGCTTCAGAATCCTTCTTAACACAGTGTTCCAGGCTGCCACTGTTTGTCAGAGTAGACTCATGAGATTTGAGTTACTATGTTTACTATTCCATGTTGTGTAGTTGTCTTCAACATACTTGTAAGGACTGATTCTCTCAGTTTAGTGAGTCTTTAGGCAAAGATGAATAACTTCTGGGTACCAAATCACATTATCATCATGATGGAATGCTTAAGAATGTTCAAATCTGTATTCCTAGGTCTAGTTTCCTTTTTTTTTTTTTTTTTAATGTTATAGAAGTTAGTGATCCTGAAATTTCAGTCACTTTGAGCTAATTGTTATGTTTGGATCAGTAGTTCCAGCATTTGAAGAATTCCCTTCTCTCTGCCATAGTTTTCCCATAATAAGATCATTGGCAGAGAACTTGTTTCCATGGTTAAAGCTACTTAGGCAAAGGGGCTGTCGTAGGTCTTTAGAGAGAGTGCTTTTTATTTTGGAAGTAGGTGACTGCTGGAGGGCGTGGGCCCGTGAGCACAGGGAACAGGTTAGCACATTCCCAGCCTGTTTTACTCCTGGGCCGTCCAGCTCCTGAGTCTTCCCTCTAAACCAGGGCTTATAAACTAGCAGCATCCAGCCCACAGACTTCTGTGTGTGCTATACACTGTTGAAAATTTTTAAATTAGTTGCCTAGATTTAAAAATTAAGAGCTTTTAAATAAAATGTTGGGTCTCCAGCTTATTTTGAAAACTCAGAAGATCCGGCCATCATCAACCTCCCTTATTGGATGATGGTTGTCTGGAGCTGAGTAGCAGCCACCCCCTTTGGGTATGACCTCTGCAGTTCTCCTCAGTGTCTGGCCGACATCACTCATTTGTATTAACTATTTGACCTGCCTGGCCTCTAAGAGCATTTGATTCTGGGACTCTTGCTCTAAATCATTTGGATTTGTATATGTCCACAGTGCCTGAGCCAACCCATCCTGACATAAAATTTTATTCTATTTTTACCTTCAAATTTCAAGAGAATTCGCTTTTAAATTCTTTTTTAAGAGAATTGCAAACTAAACAATGAAAGAAAATTGAGGTGGGGTGTACATGAGCTGCTATACCAAGAAGTACCAAAGATCCAATGAAAAATATTTTTAATGCCTTAATATTCTTGCTATATAGCTCTTACCTTAATCCTAAATCAAGCTTTTTTTTTTTTCTTTTGTGAGGAAGATCAGCCCTGAGCTAACATCCATGCTAATCCTCCCCTTTTTGCTGAGGAAGACCGGCTCTGAGCTAACATCTATTGCCAATCCGCCTCCTTTTTTCCCCCAAAGGCCCAGTAGATAGTTGTATGTTGTGGGTGCACATCCTTCTAGTTGCTGTATGTGGGACGTGGCCTCAGCATGGCCGGACAAGCGGTGCATCAGTGCGCACCCGGGATCCGAACCCTGGGCCGCCAGTAGTGGAGCGCGCGCACTTAACCGCTAAGCCACGGGGCCGGCCTCTAAATCAAGCTTTTGAAATAATAGTCTAAAATAGTGTTTCTCAAAGTGTAGCCCCCATACCAGCAGTATCAGCATCACCTGGAAACTTGTTGGAAATGCAGCTTCTCAGGCCCCATCCCAGACGCACTGAACCAGAATCTCTGGGGACAGTGCCCAGTAATCTGTGTCTTAACCTACCTTATGCGTGAGTCTAACCTGCCGAATTCATGTAAGTTTCTCTCCTATTAGGTACTATATAAATTCAGAGATAAGGACGCATTCATATTTTATTAACACTGCATGATTTTTTAATTTCCTTTTTACTCTAACCCTTTCGAGTCTCCTGTACTCTTATTGGAGGTACCAAAGAAGCACATCAAATAAGGAAATGTACACTTGTGAGTGACATGTGGCAAAGAAAGAGACAGTCCACTGAGTGAAGGAAGTGTTCTGAATAATCTCACTGAGCTTAAAGAAGGTTGTGTGTCAAGACTAGCTAAGGTTTCCCTCAGCAGTCTCTTAGAGACTTTCTGTCTGGACAGGTAGTTTTAATTATGAAAAGATATTCTCTTTCTTCCTGTGAAGGCAATTGCTATTTCGAAATGAACTTTTTGCCCAAAACGGCAAATAGGAAGTAATTTAATTGGGAGTGGCAGAATTTAATACTGACAAAAACCTTCATATTTTCATCTGAAACTGAATACTTGTTGCATTTCTAAAATTGCATTGCCTTATTTGCCAAGTTGAATAAGCAACAAAGATTTCCTTTAATGTTTAATATATATAATAATTAAAGTATAAATAAAAGGTGCTTGAAAATGCAGTTTTTCTGAAATTGGTATTTCATATTGTATAAACAGATTGAATATTTAGAAATGAATGTTACTTTTATGAGAATTCAGACCCTCGCATTTTGCCGTTCGTAAAGCCACAAAAAGCTGTAAACTTAAATCCAGTTTGGCTCATGGATCTTCCAAAAACACACTGTACTATTTTAGTCTAAGATGGCTGGAATGCCAGGAGTGGTGAACAAGACAGACAAGGCTCACATGTCCTGGAGCTTACAGCGTGGTGAGGGAAACAGGCATTGGGTCAGGTAATATATCAGTGCAGGTAATAATGGCTATTCAAAGAAAAAAAACATAGTAAAGAGGGAGTGTGACAGAAGGCCTTGCAGACGAATAGGACATTCAGCTGAGACCTGAATGAAGAGGGGAAGCAAGCCATAGGAAGGTGGAGGGAACAGGTACAAAGGCTCTGAGCAGGACATGGTGGGTGGATGTAAGGAAGGAATGAAGTCTGTTGTGGCTGGAGCAGAGTGATGCATGGGACAGCAGTCCAAATGTGAACACGTTGGCAATCACGATACATGTGAGTGCATTAAATCTTATTTTATGAAAAGAGTTGATAGTAGCTGTCCCCCCTTATTAATTCCATCTCTATTCATGGAAGTCCTCTCTATGTTGTGCTATGTATGACTAGGCAAGACTGCAAGATCCGTGATGGCCGGGACTTTATTTTACTCATCTTTGTATTCTTAACACTTAGCAATTGCCTGGCTTGAAGTTAGTACACTATTTTCAGTTAATCTCAGACATAGTCTGTGAATTAATTCAACAAATACAGTCACTACCTTGAGGGAGTTCATAGTGTAGCAGAAAATATAGATAAAATAATTTTGATACATTGTGCTAATAATAGCTTACATTTATTGAGAGCTTACTGTGTACCAGGCATTGGTCTAAGTCCTTTATATATATTAGC